CCGTCCCCCAATTGTGCATACTTATGTTCGCAGGACTCCCACTGTCTCCTCCACAGATATTGTGCCTTCATCTGCACCTCTTGGCTCCTAATCAATTTCTGACATCGTGGATCACACTCCCCGTTACCCTCAGCGCACTCAGGAGTGTCCTGATAGGTTTGGTTGGTCCAACTCTTGCTATTCTTCTGCTTTTTGTTCTTTTCTGACTTCTATACATTCTCTGTCTGAACCAACCTCTTATAAGGAGGCTATACTTGATCCTCTTTGGCAACAGGTTATGGATGAGGAGCTTTCTGCGCTTCATAAGACTCAAGCTTGGGAGTTGGTGCCTATACCTCCTGGTAAACGCCTCGTTGGTTGTAAGTGGGTTGATAAAATTAAAATCCAATCTGATGGTTCTATGGAAAGGTACCAAGCTAGATTAATGGCCAAGGAGTTTGCTCAAGAGTATGAGTTTGACTATGATGAAACCTTTGCTCCAGTGGCTAAGATAACCACGATTCGCACAGTAATTGCCGTGGCAGCTGTTCGTCAATGGAACCTATCCCAGATGGATGTGAAAAATGCGTTTCTTCATGGTGATTTGTCTGAAGAGGTCTATATGACTCCATCTCCTGGGTTGCCTTGTAGTCCTGGTTATGTGTGCAAACTTCGCAAGGCTTTATATGGTCTTAAACAGGCCCCGAGGGCATAGTTTGTAAAATTTTCTTCAGTCATCTGTGACTTAGGCTTCTGTGCTAGTGATCATGATTCTGCTCTCTTCCTTCGATCCACTTCTTCTGGTTTTATACTCCTATTACTTTATGTAGATGACATGATTATTACAGGTGATGACAATACTAGAATTCAATTATTGAAAACTCAGTTACCGGATTATTTTGAGATGAAAGATTTGGGTCCACTTCAATATTTCTTAGGGATTGAGGTTGCTTTCTCTCCCAAGGGTTATCTTCTTTCTCAGTCAATATATGCCTCAGATGTTATTCAGCGAGCTGGCTTATCGGATACTCGAACTGTTGACACACCCTTGGAGCTTAATGTTCGTTATACTTCCTCTGATGGTTCTCTTCTATCTGATCCTACTTTATATCTCACTATTGTTGGTAGTTTGGTGTATCTTACTGTTACTCGTCCAGATATTGCTTATGCGGTTCATGTGGTTAGTCAGTTTATTATTGTTCCTACCACACTTCACTGGTCTGCTATTCTTTGGATCCTTCGATATTTACGGGGTACGTTACATTAGAGTTTATTATTTTCTTCTTCTTCGTCTCTGGAGCTCTGTGCTTACTCTAATGCGGACTGGGTTGATGACTTAATAGATCGCAAATCCACCACTGATTTTTGTCTCTTTCTTGGTGATTCTCTTATTTCCTGAAAAAGTAAGAAACAAACTGTTGTAGCTCGCTCTTCTGCTGAAGCTGAGTATCGTGCTATAGCATCTACCATAGCAGAAATAGTTTGGTTGCTTGCTAATCTTGGCATTTCCTTGACTACTCCTATTCCTATATATTGTGATAACACCAGTACTATCCAGATTGCTCATAACTCGGTGTTTCATGAGCGCACTAAACATATAGAGATTGATTGTCACTTTGTGCACCATCATCTTCAACTGGGCATGATATCTCTCCCATATCTTTCTTCTAATATGCAGTTGACTGATTTCTTCACCAAATCCCACACTATTACCCGTTTTTGTTTTCTCCTTGGCAAACTCTTGATGTTGGATGCTATCACATCATGAGTTTGAGGGGGAATGTTAGAGATATTACTAGTATATTACCGTTAGGAGTAGATTAGTCTTTTATATTACTATGTTTTGCCCTAGTATAAATTCGTTGTAATACTGGTTTACACTTGATCAATAGATTTTTCCTCTTTCATTAGTAAACATCAACAAATGCTACTAGCCTACTATGACCCAGTTGCTCATCGATACTATGTCAGTGCAATGCATTTTCCCAGATTTAGTCTTGGGAAGTCCTTGTTGCCTATTGTGCCAAATTGTGTATCTCCCCTCCCCCCCACCAAAAAAAAATTAAACTAAAAATCAGTCCTCCTCGTCCCTTGTAGGTTTATCATCGTTCCAAGGATAGACAAGTTGTTCCATATACTCCAGATCCATAGCCATCACCTGATTTTACTAAGGTCTTAACTCCTGAGCCGTCAGCTAGTTCATCATCTACTAATTTATCTATTGTATTAAGAAAAAGTACCTATAATATAATAATACAAAACATCGCATTTCTAATTTTGGGTTTTTGCATCGACTTTCACCATCCTTTCGTTATTTTGCATCGACTCTGTCTTCGGTATTTATTCCTAATTCTTTAAAACAGGCATTAACATTTCCTGGTTGGAAACTGATTATGGATGAAGAAATGAAAGTCCTTGATGAGAATCAAACATAGGACTTTACTTACGTTCCTTTTGTTAAACAGCCTATCAGTTGTCATTGGGTGTACACAATGAAGTATCATCGTGATGGTTCAGTTGAACGTTTGAAGGCCCGTGTGGTTGCCAAATATTGCGCGTAGATATATGGTGTGGATTATTGCGAGACTTTCTCTCCCATTGACCGTCTTAACTCTGTTAGATTTTTTATTTCAGTTTCCATGAATTGTGATTTACCTCTGGAATAATTGGACATCAAGAATGCCTTTTTACATACAGAACTGCCGAAAGAGGTATGTATGGTACAACCTCCAGATTATGTTGTATTTGGTAAGGAATAGTTAGTGTGTCCTTTGAAGAAAACACCATATGGTTTGAAACAATCACCACATGCTTGGATTGATAAGCTCAATACTGTTGTTCTTCAAAATGGTTTTTAGTGTTTTAATTCAGACAATTCAGTTTTTATTTGTCATTCTTCTACAGGTGTTATTATTCTTATTGTGTATGATGATGACATTATTATTAGCGGTGATGACTTAAACTATATTGCCCAATTTAAGATTCATTTGGGGAAGCAATTTCATACCAAAAACCTAGGTCTTATTCAGTATTTTCTTGGGATTAAAGTTGTTCGGTCAAAGGAAGGTATTAGTTTGTACCAACAGAAATATGTATTGGATTTATCGTTTGAAACTAGTACCCTTGGTGTACATCTAGTTGATACTTCTATGGACTTTATGGTCAAGTTAGATGCTGATAGTGGTGAAGTGTTTGATGATGTAGGGTGTTATCGAAGGTTGGTTAGTAAGTTGATTTATCTTATAGTGACACTTCTTGATATTACCTTTGCCGGTGGTGTGGTTAGTGAGTTCATGCATACTTATCCTAAGCCTTATTGGGAGACTATTTGTCGTATTCTTCAGTATCTAGGAGTACTGGGTAAATGATCATTATATCGTCCTTCATCCTGCATGATTGTTAATAGATTTAATGATGCTGAGTAGATAGTTGTATTCATAGACGATCTACTTCAGGTTATTGTACATTTATTAGTGGTAATCTTGTTAATTGGCGTAGCAAGAAACAAAATATGGTTGCTTGTTCGAGTGTAGAGGCTAGATGCATTGTGACAACCAATCAACTATTTTCGTTACCAGCAATCCGGTATTTCTTGAGAGGACAAAACATATTGAAGTGAATTTTTATTTTATTTGAGATCTCTTGATGCGTAAGGAGGTTATCACACCATATATCAAATCTAGTGATCAGCTAGGAGACATCCTTACCAAACTACTGGCTCAATTTGTCTTCAGTAATATTGGTTCCAAGCGGGCATCTAACATTGCCTATACAACTGATTATTCTTCCCAATCTCTTCTCTCTTTTCCTCCCTTCTTCTTTTTCTCATAAACCCTAATATCAATTTTACCATTCAACTAAAACATTTGTCAGAAAATAAACAAACATTTAGTTTTGGACGACATTGTTACATTTTTGTTTAATTGAGGGTGCAATGTGACAATCTTAATCTTACACGGTGGAAATTGAGAATTTAAGATTTTGTGCAAGTGTTATTCACGCAATTCTTTAATCTCTTATTTTTGTTTGCTAATCAGGTTCAACACCTTCCAACTAGTTGCATTATTTTTTTTAAAAGAAGAATTTTATTATAGAATGGAAGAAAGAAGAAAATGAATTACAACATTGACGACAATATATCCTCAATATGAATAAAAGCAAGACACATCTCAAAGAAAAGTGTTAAAGAAAAAAACTGAAATAGAGCCGCCAGTCAATTCTGTTGAAGGTTCGATAAATGCAAATGAACAGAAAATAAATAGATTAGCATTGCACTCTCCACTACCAAAAAAAGTAAGAATAGGATTCAAAGCTTTATAGGGCCTCCTTTTCTGCAACAAATCATTAGTGTTCACCAGATTAAGGACAACAGATCAAACAAAAGCCTTGACTTTTGAAGGGACTTTGGCTTTCCAAATAAATTTGGCAAAGGAGAAGAACACTTGCATTTTGAGGGTTAACAAGATATGAATAAAAAGATCTACAAGAAAACGTACCTAAAATTTTCATAGTCCAAATTCTACAATCATTTGAAAAACGAGGATAGAAATTATGGAGAAATTGAAGCAAACAAGCTAAATATAATACTTCCCGATCATTGAGATATCTAAAGAAATGAAATTCCAAGATTGAGAATTTGTCCCCCCATCAAGAAAAGAAGATATAGGAGCCTCATGTAGCAAAAACAAACAATAAAGTCTTGGAAAAATATAACTAATTACATTAATACTCCTAGACAATGGTTTTCCTTGCATTGGCGGAGAGATTGACTCAGCAGTTGCATTAGTCACTATATCTTTTCTCTTTTCCTCTTTTAGCAACTAATCGAAATTTTATACAGTTGATTTCTTGCTTGGATGGTTCCTCGTGCTTTCTTTGAACCAGGAGATCAGGGGGTCCAGGGTCATGTTTAATGAAATGAAAGTAGTTCAAACTCATTGGTTCATGCAGTTTACTTTTTTTCTTTCAGATGCATTATGACACCAACTTTAGTATGTTTACAGACAAAGTAAGTTCAATTAATGGCATTTTATCCATTGACAGGAACTGCAGTCGTGATAGTCATGCTGGCAACTACACTTCTCATGATTTTAATCATGATATTAGTATGGCGCTGCCATTGGATTCTTGTCCTCATTTTCACCGGCTTATCTCTAGTAGTGGAGTGTACATACTTATCTGCTGTACTTTGCAAAGTCAATCAGGGTGGTTGGGTACCACTTGTGATTGCAGCAGCTTTTCTTGTTATCATGTCTGTCTGGCACTATGGTACAGTGAAACGCTACGAATTTGAGATGCACAGTAAAGTCTCAATGGCATGGATCCTCGGGCTTGGTCCCAGCTTAGGATTGGTCCGTGTCCCTGGGATAGGACTTGTATACACTGAGCTAGCAAGTGGAGTGCCTCACATTTTTTCTCACTTCATCACAAACCTACCAGCGATCCATTCAGTCGTCGTTTTTGTGTGTGTGAAATATCTTCCAGTTTACACAGTCCCAGAAGATGAGAGATTCCTTGTGAAACGGATTGGACCCAAAAATTTTCACATGTTCCGTTGTGTTGCAAGATATGGTTACAAGGACCTCCACAAGAAAGATGATGATTTTGAGAAAAAGATCTTTGATAACCTCTTCATGTTTGTCCGGCTTGAGTCCATGATGGAAGGTTGTTCTGACTCTGATGAGCATAGTTTATATGGCCAGCAAACTCAGCGGTCAAGAGACACCCTGTTGAAGTATAATGCAGACACATATGCCTCCAGTGTTGAATTAACGATTTCATCAGTGGACTCAATCGTGCCAGCTAAATCTCCACCGCTGGCTAACAACACTGTCATGTCATCTGGGCAGACAAGCAGCCAGACAGAGGTCGATGAGTTGGAGTTTATGAATAGCTGTAGAGATGCTGGGGTAGTGCACATACTTGGGAACACAGTGATAATGGCAAGAAGGGATTCAAATATTTGTAAGAAAATAGTGGTTGATTATGTATATGCATTTCTGAGGAAGATATGCAGGGAGAATAGTGTAATTTTCAATGTTCCTCATGAGAGCCTCTTGAACGTTGGGCAGATTTTCTATGTATGAATCCGTTGTCACAGTGATCAACAAGAACAAAACAAATTGTTTCTACTCTCTTCAACTGAGGCGCATGTTTTCTACTACCTAATACTTTTTTGGATGTTATAAGCATGTTTCAATCTCTATAATAGTGGATCTTCCAGCTCTGGGGAGTGGACAAACAGTCAACTGGCATACCAAATACCAAAGTTTTCAATACAAACTGGTGGACATAATTCTTTTCCATGATACAATTGATACAAATTGTATATGCCTGCTAAACACCTTTATTTGAGATCTGCCATTGAAACTACAGTATGTATTGAGATTACTTCCCCACCCTCCAAAACAAAAAACCAACATATTTCACCTGTGGCTTTTGAGCAAGTTTTACAATCCCATAACAATTTTCCATCCATTCAGTTTACCAAATGGAACCATCCTCTAGCAGTTTCTTCCATACTGCCGAATCACAACTTGAAAATGAAGTATTTGTTTCTGTGGTTGCATTGGCCTTTTGGTCTTGAATAGGACTGTTAACGGCCGAGAATGTACTTAGTACTTCTGTTTGAATTCTTGTCAGTTCCTCTTGAACTTGGTTCTTGCCATGGACACTTTGGCTGTTAGTATCATCTGTATCCATCGTTTCTACCGCGTTTTTGCAGCTTTGTGGCACTACCATTGTCTCTCGCTTTGCCATTTCACCACTGTCTAGTTCTGTTTTCTGATCCAGCGTCAGGATTAACTGCTCAAGGTAAACGAACATTTTTCGTTGCATGAGCTTGCTGCTTTGCACACGCCTTTTTAAGTCGACAAACAGATTTTCCAGAATCTGGTAATGTTCTTTCAGCTTCAGGAATTCCTGTTCCAAAATATTCTCTTCATTCCTTAAATTTTCTAGTTGAGTCTCCATTCCAGACTGCGCTGAGTCAAGGAAGGGCTCAGGTGCTCCTTGTTGCGTTATGTTGGAATGTTGATTTCTCCTCTTGATGTTCTTGAGCAAATGCTTCTTCCCTCCTTGAAACCATTCATTTGCATATTCACAGCGCTGCCAATGGATCTTTTTGAAGCCCTTCAACAATTATAGCATACAAAGATTATTTATCGTTTGATAATGCTTTTTTGAAGCTACTCTTTGAAGGGAAAAAAAATTAAACAGTAAAAGCATATTTGATTACAATTTTATAAAAAATAGTATATATATGCACCTTAGTTAGGGAATGAAGTAAACCTATACAAGGAAAAACCAAAAAAAAAAAAAAAATCACATGCCAAAAAAAAAAAAGTACTACTTATAAAAGTAAATAAACAGGGAAAAAAACATAGAAAATGCATTGTTCAACAGCATCTTCAGTTTTATAAGTATACTAGTTATTGTAATCTGCATGAAAGTACAAAGTAATAAAAAAAAATTGTCAATCATAAATATATTTGTATTCACACTTAAAATCAAGTCACAAACATAAAAAAGAGAAAAAAAAAATTAAGCACCAGTCGTAATGGATGTGAGCAAGTGGTAATGGTGGTGGGCATCAGTGGTGAGAGTGGAACACGATGATAGTTGTGATAGATGACGACGACCGTGGTAGTGGTGGTAACAGTGAATGACAATAATAATGGAGGTGGTGGTTTTTGGGTGACGACCATGGTAATGACAGCCACGGGTGACGGCGATGGTGGTGGTGGCGACGGTGGGTGTCGGTGGTGGTGAATGACGGTTATGTAGTTGGCGGTGGTGGTGGTAGTGGCAGTGACAGTGGTGGATTTTGGTGGTGGGGCGGTGACGGTGGTGGTGGCTGTGGTGGGTGGTGGTGATGGGCTATGACAATGGTGGTAGTGGGTGTGAGTGGTGGTAGACGATGATGGGTGCTTTGTGGGCGACAGTGTAATGGCGAATGGTGGTGGTGGTGGTGATGAGTGATTTTAAAAAAATAGAAATTAATTTTTTTTTACGTACTTACTTATTTAAGTGGTAAAATTACTTTTGACTTATTTAATTATAAGTAATTAAAATAAGTTGTTCCAAACAAACCCTTATGGGACCTATTTTTCTTATTAAATTTGAGAGATTAATAGTAGCCGTCGAATTAATTTTAAAGTAAAATTTAAATGATTTTAATACAAAAAATAAAAATTATTTGTTATATTGTATTTTATTATATAGATAGAATATAAAATAAAGCATGGGATCACTAACAAAGAACTCTAGCAGGCCATGTAACTCAGATTCAATAGCGAAACCGCAACAATCTCAAGTAGTCATTACATGCACAATTTACCTTAAATTCATAAGAAGAAACCAAAACACATCAAATCATACGAAACAGAACTCATCAAGCACACATATACCAGCAAGATTCATACAGACAAATCTTGTAGGAAAGTTTTCTATTGCAATAAAGTTATGTCGTGTCTATTTTCTTTGACAATGGAGAATTTCCATGGGTTTCATTTAGTATCGTGTTCATGCCCGTGTTACAGAATGAAAGTCCATAGAGTGGCATTATGCAAGCAAGACCAATATACAGTACATCTAAATTTATGAGAAATGACATGAATAAGGAAAACGGTGAAAAAATAAAGGTGGTAGCTTAATACTAACATAACCGATGAGTTTTTGGTCTAATAGTATTCCTTATCTTATGAAGATTTTATTTTCTTGAGGTCAAGAGTTCAAATCCCCCTCCTCCTCCCCTTCCCAAAAAATAAAAAAAAATAATACTGACATAGTTGTTGAGTTGGCAAATGAAGCTTGTAAAATTACTGCGCTTGAAGTATGTGGGGAGGATTTCTATGGACAATCTGTTGGTGTCCCAAATGATAAAGCTGGTGCGAGTGGAACTCCATGCTATGATTGAGTCTGTTTCTGGATCCTCCACCATTTCAAAGACCTTCCTCAAGAAGGGAGGGGGTGTTCTTTCCGAAGTTGGCAAATGTAATGCAGACGATCCACTCGCGCAATCAATAAAAGCATCACCACCACCACTACAACCACCGCTATTTTTCTCATCATCGCCAGCTTCCATTTCTGCGTGTTTTGTTTTGGAATTTTTTGCCCCGCTGCCACCACCAATATCAATGTAGTCAGTTGCCCAAGCTTTCTCTTGGCCCATTGTTGCTTTTTCCATGAGTGAGAGAGTGAGTGAGTTAATGGGTTTAGAGACTTCTGATAAAATTCCACACACACACAGTCAAAATGGCTCCTGTTAAAAAGGGAGTTTTAAAGAAGAGTTGCACACAAATATTCGCACACATACAGAGAGGGGGATAACCCTATGTACGAACGAGAACTGTTCGGCATTGTTCCAACAAAAAAAAAAAAAAGAAAAGAGAAACCCCAAAACACCCTTGAAAGAAAATTTTTGGACTTTATAGTGAAATCAGCACCTTTAGATTTACTTGTGACCTTGCACCCCTTTGCATAGACCACAATGGACAGGAACTTAAATTATCTAAAATTGTGTTTAATTTCAGATAATTAAATTTGATTTAGCACAATCATATACGAGAATTGTGACACGGAAACAGTTTTTTTGTTTGTAGTAGGCGTAAAACAGCGTACATCTAATCATCTTTAAATCATGTAATAACGAGAGTTTTGTGTATTGTATACGTTTTTTTATATATGAAAATTGTGTTATTAGAATTTAACTTTGCCATCCATTTTAGAATTTCTACGTAGTTTGGCATTGGTGTCTGGGCGTAATTTAACGAACTTCAAAAGGCCATGGACTCAGTGAACCTATTTAAACACTTTTATTTCGGTTTAATCATTTCCATTCCCTCAACATTTTCTTGAACACCAGAGAATATATTCTTTCTTTGGTCACACACATCTTATGATGGTCCAATTTACCACTTTCATCTTTTCTCTTAAAAATGGCTATGGTTTTCAACCGTTTAATCTATGTATAGTAGAACCCCGTGTGGTCACGTTTTCTAGTTGCCGCCTTCGTGCCTCGTAAGGTGTCAAAGACATGCTCCAATAAAGTGTACGGTAGGATATCTACAAGACATTGTACAATATTATGAATATTATTATTTAAAAAGTTCATCTAAAATAATTAAAATGATTATAGAAATTTTAAATTGTTGTTGAAAAAATAGCTGTAAAATTAGAGTTTTACACCTATTGACTTTTGGATCAATCTATAATTAGGTGGAGATTGAAACAGAAGTTTGGGTCATAAAGTCATCCGCCTTCGGTTGGAAAAAAAGAGCTTCCGGACACACATCTAGAAATTATGGCAGATATTTTGGCTTTTTCAGACACAAAACTCTACATCTGGATATATATATTTTTATTCCGACAGAAGGTTTAATCTATCTGAAAATGTGATGTTGCGCTTGAACGCGCATCCTAAAATCAAGTTTCTCACTCTTATATCGTTTAACTTATTCTTGGGACTATATAAACCCTAGGGTTCCATTTTAGAGTACTTTTCACATATTCCCAACCCTAGTAGACTTAGAGAGTAGAGAAAGGAGGAAGAAGAAAAGGTTTTGATCAATTATTTTTGTTATTAACATGTCAAAATAAGAATGCCCGTTACAGATCTAATTTTTTGCATCGCATCAGTGTAGGGTTTCTTTTCCTTGTCTAAACATTAAGGTTAGGGTTGTATTTATATGTAATTCTTGACTTGGATTCGTATACATACTATAATCTACAACTGGTTTTGGATTTGTTGGAAAAGCATGATTTGTTTTTAGGAAAAATTACACCTAGATCCCTAAGTTTGGTCACTTAATCATTTAGACCCCTGATTTTTAAAATATTGCACACAAAACATAACCCATAGTTCATTAGTAAATTACATCTAGACNAGTGTTTTTAGGTTTGTTAACCCTAGATCTTGAATAATGTCTAATTGATATTGTTTATTTGCATGTTTTATCAGAATTCCCCTTGCTTTAAGAATTATAAAACCTGTTGTTTGATGTATATGTGATCTATTTTAATAGCATGATTTAACTCTCTTGCATTTATGGGTTTGATGAACTTGAATGCACTCAACCTTATATTACAGAGTGTATATAGAAGTGTTTCTTACCTTGAGAGGTTCAAAGATTTCCTATCACTTATAGTGGGGTGTTGGTTCCTTGCAGGGTTCGAAACCATTATTCGTTCATATTGGTTGAGACATAGGATTAATATACTATTCTTAAGAAGATTTTGTTAAATACTAGTAAATCAATATACGTGTTTATTAATATGATGTGATCATACCGGGATTGATTGGATGGTTTATGTTTGTGCAGGTGGACGAGATATATTTTGGTGTGTGAATTCTTATTTGTTAACCTACGTACATGAGATATTCGTATTATAAATTGTTTATTCTCTTAATGATTCATTCTATGATGAAATTTTTTTACACATATTGAAACTTGAGATTTTTATTAATTTCACATGATTTATATCAAAAGTTATCTATGTTTATTTTGGAAAAATGGGAGCTACATGTTTTCCTTATATTTTTAAACTTTGTTTAGGCTTGAGAGAGTTTTTATACTGTGTTAGTTGTGCTCTCTCCTTCTTTAATATTTTCATATTTGGATTTTGTAACTTGATACAGACATAGGTGAGCATGTNTGTGTTAGTTGTGCTCTCTCCTTTAATATTTTCATATTTGGATTTTGTAACTTGATACAGACATAGGTGAGCATGTGAATTTGAATTTCAACCAGATCAGTTAGTGGATCCGGACTTTGAGGCTTAGTGATGAAGGATTTAATTTATCTTAATGTTTGTTTTGATATTGAGAATAATATATGGTTTGTCATGATTGAAGTAGCTAAATATAAGCTTTTTTTTTTTGGAGTAATGCCATAGTTTTGGGGTTATATTCTTTTAAATGGTTGAATTATTATTTTTGAGATATTTTGGGGTTCTTAATTAGATTATGTTGGATATTGTTGCTCCGACTTAGTGAATGATATTATTAGATATGCTCTCATAATTTTAAAAGTTATTTGTTAAATTGTGTAAGTTTATGAAAATAGGGCGTGACAGTATCACATAACAAAGTAGATGTCGGGGAGGTACCTCTATCCCTTGAAACCAACCAAATATGCTTAGTTTTTTATTATGGGAAAATTTGAGTCACACCCTCTATAGATACAAATGTATTCAAAAACACCGTTTATTTTATCTAAAATTTCACTAACTCCCATTATCAAAGTTTTTTATTATCGGGAGGCAGCAAAAATTGGGGCATGGAAACTTACGAAGAATCTTGATTCTGCGTATTGTGATGTCGGCTTTTATGGTGCCCATGGGCAGCATCCCTCCCTCCCCTTGTTGGTATCTAAATAGGGCATTTTTTCGAATCAAATAATCTTAACATTCAAAGTTTCTTCGGNTTTTATTTAAGATGAAATATTAGAATACAAGTCATAACCCATGTCTGAAGCACGATGAAACATAAAGTTCGAGCGTTTAAAAAATTGATTTCACTATATTATATAATAATTTTTTTTACTTCATTTATTTGATTACATTATTTAAAATTTATTTGTACTTATTATTTTTTTAAAAATATCGACAAAGATACTTAATCTAACAAATTTTTTAAACATGTGTATACTATCGTATATAAATAATATTTGAAATAAAAATTATTTTAAATTATAAATTAATTAAGTATTAAATAATTAAACATGTGATAGAAATTAGTGATAAGATGATTTTGACAGAAAAAATATGTATAAGATAAAATTTCAAACAACTAGTAGATCATATCCATATTTCAAACAACTAGAAGTCATAGTGTCCTAAACTCTTTAAGTATGCAGAATTTTGGACTACAATATTTTTGGAAGAAGAATGGGGATTGGCACATTGTAATTGTTATATGGATGATTTGTCCTTACCCCCTTCCTTAACTTTGATAGCAAAGTAGTTGCGGAAACTTCTTTCTATACATCATCCTAATGTTATGTATGTATCTTTCCCTATAGGTTTGTCTTCATCAACCTCTTTAGGTATGTCTTGTTCCACTTGAGTGTTTGATCATGGTGCTAAACATCATATGACTAATAATTCACTGTTCTTTTTGTTAGAAAATTGATTATAATTGGCTAATTTCATGAAATTTTATTATAAATCTCAAACTAATTTCATGGTTATGATGTTTCAAAGATCAAGTTTCAAGAGTGTCAATGAAGGAAAGAGTTCAAGCTGCTAAGTCAAATCAAGAGACTTCAATGCACCTTCAATGCTTAGGACAAATATAATGACCTAGATACGTAAGAACCCTTAGTTTATTTTTAGGCTTTGGATTATTAGGTTAATGGAATTAGAATTAGGAATTTATGTGAATAACTATTAGGATTTTCATGATAAAAAAAAATCAAAACCTTAAATGTGTTTTGAAAACATGGAATGAGTCAGGTTCAGATCCTATTTGTGCAACAATCCTTATTGCTCAATAGTTCTAGTTTTTACTTTGTTTCTTGCTTAAAAAACCAGTAGGGATCTGCTTCAACTTTAATATTGTAAACACAAGCGCAAGCTGAGCAAAATAATATATTTCTTGGAAGACCAAGGTCGAACCCTCAAGGAATTGTAACAAGAAAGCAATCATACAAATANATTGGGGCATGGAAACTTACGAAGAATCTTGATTCTGCGTATTGTGATGTCGGCTTTTATGGTGCCCATGGGCAGCATCCCTCCCTCCCCTTGTTGGTATCTAAATAGGGCATTTTTTCGAATCAAATAATCTTAACATTCAAAGTTTCTTCGGTATGTTTTGCTATGGCTTTCGTTTACGGGGAAGGCAAAAGCCAATTAAGACATGCCCCAGTGGTGGGTTGTGACAATTCTTGACTTAGGGTAATTTCATTATTTTTGGATTGCTTTGGCTTGTCAATCACAGCTATTGATGGTAGGAGATGTGGATGAAAAGGACATATAAAGTAGAAGTAGTGAAATGAAAGCTCAAATAATATAAGTGGTGTTCTTGATTATAGGACAATCTAAGGGGATGTCCATGAATGTTTCCATTTGATTAGTCATTTGAGGCTTNTGATAGAAATTAGTGATAAGATGATTTTGACAGAAAAAATATGTATAAGATAAAATTTCAAACAACTAGTAGATCATATC